GTCATTTGGTAATTTCTGTTGCTGTCTTATATTCCTCCTTTCACAAATTTTGGTAGCTCGAAGACTTTATTAACTACATTTCCAAGGCAAGGATTGTGTGAGGCAGGAGAATTGTGGGGAGTTCAAGGCCAGCCTGGACTACAAAGTGAGACTCTTTTGTCTCTAAAACCAAAAAAAAAGAAAAATCGCTGAGGGTAATATATTTAGCTTTGCAGAGAAAAAAAATGCATTACTTTAGTAGCCCAAGATGTCTAAATTAGAAATCTTCCTTCTCTGAGAAAGCGCCAATTCAGTTTTAATTTCAGCAGTTAAACCAGATTCCAGTTGGAAAAGCTTAATTACAAGTGCCAAATGCTAACACTGATGATACAGTAGAATATTTACAAAATATATGCTTAACATTTTATTACTGTGGGTTTTTTCTTTTGTTTTGCTTTTTGAGATAGGTTCTCCCTGTGTAGTTCAGGCTGACCTTGAACTTAACTGTGTAGCCCAGGCTGGCCTCCGTGAGGTGATCCCCGTGCCTCACCCTCACCAGTGCTGGATTACAGTTGTGTGCAACCTTGCCTGGCTGTTACTGGGTTTGTTTGTTTTTATTTCTTGGTACCGGGGATCGAACTTGGGACCTTGTGCTTGTGGGGCAGGTGCCGGAACCACTGAGCTACATCCCCAGGGTGTTACTGTTTTTTTTAACCTCATATCCTTAAGGTTTATTAGGTTTCTTTTAAAAGAAAAACGTCTTAAGATTAACTCCATATGTAAACTTTTTTCTTTTCTTTCTTTTTTTTAGGGTGTTAGAAATGGCTACTCCTCAGTCAGTCTTCATCTTTGCAATCTGCATTTTAATGATAACAGAATTAATTCTGGCCTCCAAAAGCTACTATGATATCTTAGGTGTGCCCAAATCAGCGTCAGAGCGCCAAATCAAGAAGGCCTTTCACAAATTGGCCATGAAGTATCACCCTGACAAAAACAAGAGCCCCGACGCTGAAGCAAAATTCAGAGAGATTGCAGAAGGTAAATAAATGACTTTCTGAGATCTCATGAGTATTACTAGTCAGGAGACTGTCTGGTTTTATGGATAATGGGAAGGTGGGGATTTTATAGTGATACTCTGAAGTTATTTTCTTGTTTTTTGAAGGAATGAACAGATCTGAAAATGTTGAAAATATATGATTTCATTCTGTTATTAATGAAATAACTTGTTTCAATGTAAAAAGGAATTTACTCAAAATTTTTACCAATTTTGAAACTTACTAAGTAGATTAAATATAAAAAAATGAAAATAGATTCTAAAATTACTTATTCGTTACATATTTCAAACCACAAATATGCCTTAAAGGGAAAGTATGAAACACATTCAGACTTAAAACTACTACTGTAGTTCTAAAATGAATTGCACCTACTGAACATAATTAGTGGTAGGTGGTGGTAATTGACAAGGGAGTTGGAATTAAACATTTACTTCAACTAGCAAGGAAGGGGAAAATCTTAATTCCCTTTAATTGATTATACAGTGTTTGACCATTTAGTTCTTTAATACAGGTAATAGTTTCACATAAATATTATGAAGGTTAAAGAACCTTCATAATATTTATGTAATTATTGTTTGCATATTTGTGATAATGGTCACATTCATTTAACATACACTTATTGGGTGTTTACTAGAGGTATCATTGTGCTAACTACTGGTAATACAGCAGTGAATAAGATGAAGTCCCTGCCTTGTTTTAGAACTTTGTAGTGTTTTCCTTTTACTTACATGAAATCATTCCCTAAAATACAGAATTGAATGAAGTCAAGTGTTTTAAGAGGTTTGAATATATGTAATTTTGAATACTTTTCTTTTAGTTACTAAAATATTTTTATTTCTTTCAGCATATGAAACACTCTCAGACGCTAGTAGGCGAAAAGAATATGATACACTTGGACACAGTGCTTTCACTAATGGTAAAGGACAAAGAGGCAGTGGAAGTCCTTTTGAGCAGTCCTTTAATTTCAATTTTGACAACTTATTTAAAGACTTTAGTTTTTTTGGTCAAAACCAAAACTCTCGATCTAAGAAGCATTTTGAAAATCACTTCCAGACACGCCAAGATGGTTCTAGTAGACAGAGGCATCATTTCCAGGAGTTTTCTTTTGGAGGTGGATTGTTTGATGACATGTTTGAAGATATGGAGAAAATGTTTTCTTATAGTGGCTTTGACACCACCAATCGGCACACGGTACAGACTGAAAATAGATTTCATGGATCTAGCAAGCACTGCAGGACTGTCACTCAGCGAAGAGGAAATATGGTCACTACATACACTGACTGTTCAGGACAATAGTTCTTTTTCTGTTCTTATTAAACCCACCTGGTTGACTCTTTCTTAGTATCTTTGATGGAAAAGTTTTCTCTGAAATATTTTGACAAGTGCATGACTTTACTCAGAAATTTGATATTACTATTATTATACATTTAAATTTTTTTTGACAAATTCACCAACATACAACTAGTGAGTTAGACAAAAATCTATTAATTTTCTTGATTAGGAAAGGTCCTTTAAAAAAAGATACAACTGCTGGATCACCCCCCCCCCCCCCCCATGTGCCCTTAGGCTCCCCAGTGTGGCCAGTTTCATTACCACCACCACCAAAAAAAAAGATTGAGTTTGCTTGATACATAGATTAAACTTTGTTTGAATTTGAATGAGTTTTGCAGTGAAATCTTTGATAATTTAAAATTGCATGCTCTAGTATCTGTGACTTGGATTGTAATTGAGTCAGCAAGGAGAGCATTCAGTGGTTAATTGACACTGAAAGCTTTAGAAAGGATAATTTGTTATTTACCACAGAACCTTGTCTTGCCACAGAATTGGGTACAGGAAATGATGGTATTGCTCTTCGGCCAATTAAGCTGAAAAAAAAAACCTTACAAAACATTGCCAAGAGATTATTAGGTGTTTAGTCCCTGGCTAATGATTGACTTTATAGGGTTGAAATCATAGCTACTTAACACATCTTTTCACATTAGTGTCTTAGTTGTTGGCACTCGAGGTATTGAATTTATGTGGGTTTATGTGTGTATGTGTAATTCCTCCTCTTTGCATTTATCTTTAGAGATTGACTAATACCTCATTCTGTTTGTAAAACCAGCCAGTAATTTTTGTGCAGCCTTATGATGTGCAATATTTTTAAATCCTAAGAAATGTGTGCTTTTGTTTTCAGATAAAACTTCTTTAGTTCTGCACTTTCCACATTATACTCCATATGAGTATTAATCCTTTGGATGCATATTAAGACTAGTGATGTCTCATACAACATTGTGTGTGAATGGGAGAAATATAAGTATTTACAAGCTGATAGTCTCTGTTGTCATTTTGTCAAAATTTTATTATGCAGATCTGGAGACATAGAGGATATATATGTAATAGGTCATATGCTGATTGTAAGCTGTATTTCTTAACTTTTTTCTAATTTGATAGAATTTTGCTTTACTGTCATTTGGTAATTTCTGTTGCTGTCTTATATTCCTCCTTTCACAAATTTTGGTAGCTCGAAGACTTTATTAACTACATTTCCAAGGCAAGGATTCTGTCACCATTTCTTTCCTATTTAGGTCTGGTTGGGAAAACAGAGACTTTCCATAAAGCTGTAATCCTTAATCAATTTTAATTTGAAAAAATTTTTGTACTTTTTTAGTGTTGAAGATTGAACCCAGGATCTCATGCATGCTAGACAAATGCTACTGAATTATATCCCCAGCCTTTAATTTGAGAATTGTTAATACAATGAATTTATTACATTTATGTATCTTATTCCTGAAACTTACACTCTACTGCTTTTGTTTGATAATTAAAGAAGGCTGTAGGCTTTGTTTGGGGCTAAGGATATGTTTAATCTAGCCCATTAAACAAGAAATGAAAGATGATTCTCTCACAAGGGTCTCATTTTTAAATCAAGATTATCTTTAACACATTCCTGCTGGCTTGAAACACTGTGGCATGGATATGTGCATGACTGTCCCATCAAGTGGTACAAGCTGCTGGATGGGACAGTAGTGCATGTATGGTTGTTGTGAATATGTTAAGGATATATTACTTTCATATTAGCATGTGTCTTCCTTTTTTCCAAGGCCTGATTTATCTTCCTGTTTCCCCTGAATCATATAAATTTAAGATACGATTAAATAACAAGAAACAGACTTAAGTAATCTTAAGGGTGTATGTGTGAGTAGTTTGGCATGTAAGCTGTTGGAAATTAATAATCAACATATGTTTTCCGAGTAATTTATTTGTACAGACTGAATTTACAAAGAGAAAGTGGGGAACCTACATTTGAAGAAATGACCAATAAAATAGCTGACCTATACCTTCCACACAAATGAAGTCTATTAAAGTCTTTTTCCCCTTCTGAGTAAAGTAGAAATTTCATATCAGGACTTGTCTTCAACTAGATTGTATTTTCCTTGAGTTAAACGCTATCAGCATGTGGTAGGTCCATTGGTTTTTTTTTTTTTTAGCAAAATAGATGTCAAAATGACCTTGACAAGACAGTTTCTAGCTGGTGGTGGGGGTGTGCCTGATTAGAGCAGGTTTAAAACAGGGTGATAGCAAAATAAAGTGCTCTTAGTGACATTACTTTGTGGAAAATTTATACTGAAAACATTTGTGGCTGGGCCTGGTGGTGCACCCCTGTAATCCCAGCACTTGGGAGGCTGAGGCAGGAGCATCACTGAGTTTCAGGGCATCCTGGGCTAGTGAGTTCAAGACTGGCTTATAGTGAGACCTTATAGTGAGACCCTTCTCAAAAAACAACAAACTGCACATTTGTAGACAAAATTTTTAGCACAGACATTTTACTAGAGTTTTAGTTATGATTTCATCAGAGGTAACAGTTGGTTCTTCAGAATGGTGTGCTATAGGATGTTCATATGCTGTGGAAAAAAATGTTCAAGTAAATTTGAAACCTATGGTAATATTTGAACCTTGTTAAAGATACCATGTTTCTTTATAGTTGAGTATATGGTCTGAATTTTTACATCCCTCCAAAGGTCGTATATTGAGATTACTCCCAAGGTGATGCCATTATGGCCTGTGGGAGGTGATCAGGTCATAGGCCAAGCCTTTGAGTGGAATTGGTGCCTTCATAAGAGGCCAGAGAGACCACTGGCCGTTTCCATGCAGTGAGGTTAGAGTGAAAAGACAGCTGTCTCTGAACCAGGAAGCTGGCCCAGCAAATCTGCTCAGGCCATCATCTGGAACCTGTCAGCCTCCAGAACTGTGAGGAATAAAATTATTTTTATATAAGCCACCCAGATCATGGTATTTTGTATCAATCTGAACATACTTAAGACAATAAGCTTCTTAGTGCTTTCAATATGCTAATTTACATTGTGATTATCTGGTAGAGTACCAGTGTTGTTTGCCAAACTTAGCGGGCTGTGGAACCATTTTTGCCAAAGTACCCCTAACAATATCCAAGTGTGCCACAGTGAAAGTCAACAAATACTAGACTAACACCGTGAAAATTCATGTCATTAGGAGTATTTGGATCTACTTAAAACAAGGATGATAATACATATTATGCTGATACTTGTCCCACTAGCTATGGACAAGTTGAGGTTGGAAAAAATAATCCTATCAGAGCCCACTGTGGTTTTCTTGAGCCTGTAGTATTTCATCAACATGCTTTTCTTTTGATTATTGTTTTAGCTGCTTGAATAACCTAGCCTTGTTTCTTCAGGACTCATACCTATAATGATCCTGAGCAAGCAAAATTATGAGAGTATAATTTTTTTATGAGAGTACAATTTAAAAACTCCTTTATTCTCCCAAGAAAAAAGATATTAAAATGTTACTAAATTGTATTTCAAAAATAAGAGAGTATTTATGAGCAGAAGTCAAATTATTAGGTTAAAGCCCAAATCATTTTGACAGGCTAGTAATCATTTTGCACTTTAGACCAGCATTAGTAGTTAGTGGTGTCGGACAGGTTCTGAGAGTTGACTAATGACTCAGCTATTTCTCTTTGGAGACAGAACAAATGCTTACTCATATGCACCTATTTTTGGTGGAAATTTCTCCTGGCTATGTCTACAAAATAATGGGGTGAATGGGAATAGATAAAAATACTTAAGAGTCTTTCTAGAATTAAAAGTTTTTACTTTGCATATGTAAAAATAAGTATTGGTCTTATTTCTGATGTAAACTTTTATAATAGTTTTTGGTACCAGTGAAATGATGAGATAGATGGTCTCCTGTTGTAGGGGTCTGGCACATCTGTCACGTGTAGGGGTTAGTGCAAATGTGTGGTCAGGGTCCATGCAGCAGTCAAGATAGGGAAGATGTTGCTATACTTGATGGTTTTATGGTCTTATCTCCTTCATGTAACATTTTGTCCTGTGTTTTATCTGCTTGAAGACAGCACTGCCTTTGTCAGGAGAAGCCAGCACCACCTGCATCTTCTGCGCGTCTCCTGGGAGCTGTGGTTTTAACTGTAGCTTGGAATTAAACAACATATTCATTAACCAGGCCGGGGACATAGTTCAGTGGTGCTGTGTCTGTCTTGCAAGCAAAAGTCCTGAGTTCAATCCCCAGTACTGAAAAAAAAAAATTGTAGTCCATATTCATTAACCATTTCATGACTAAAGCCTGACACATATCTTTTATGAAAAGTAAAAAGTGTTTAAATTACAATGTGTAAGAAAGGGTACAGCATGGGAACAAGAGTATATACCCTGCTGAAAATGAAATAAAGTTAGAAAGAAATTAAGTGAACTTGAGACACTTTAAATTTTCTTTTTTTCCAGAAAAAATTTCTTTCATGCACCTAATTACTCACCATGAAGCTACTTGCATTATCATACTATAAATGTTTTGGAATCAGTGGATCTAATTACTGAATTTACAATGAGTCAGTCTACATTATAAATGTTTTCCAACCTATAAACAAAGTGCAAATGATTCGGTTATGCTGTTAGAATAATTTTATAAAACATACCTGACATTTTGGGAAATGGAAAGAAAGGAAATGGAAAGGTAAGGTGGAAATGTTAGTGTATTCTATCATTTTGTTTTAAGAGACATGAGAAGGATTTATTAGTGGTATAGATATAGGACGTGTAAAAGCAGAGTGTGAGTTCTTGGAGAAATGGGGCATGATACAGATGGGAACTGAGGATCTTTTGTGTGTTTGGGGTAGAGGGAGTCTGGAATTTGTTTTACTTATTTGTTTTGATTTTTTAGACTTGCTACGTAGTTCAGGCTGGCCTCACTATGTAGTTTAGGGTGGCCTTGAAGTCTTGGTGATCCTCCTGCCTCAGCCTCCTGAGTGCTGGGATTACAGGCCTGTGTCACTATGCCCTAATCTTTGGAATTTAATAATCTATAATCTTAGTCTTGTCTAGTGGATGGGAGAGGAAGGCCCACTCATAGTGAAATAATAGTCTATTTATATGGGAAATCCCAAAAGGGTGGCCCATTTATTGTAGGTAGGTAAGTTAATTTGTTATCTTGTAGGCAGGGCCGGTCTGCGAGGGGACTTCGAGGACAGTGGAGAGCCAACATGGAGGACAATCAAGACACATTCACTGAAGGCCAGCATTGTAGAAGAGAAACTACCACACCCATGTGCTTCCCCATTGGATCCCCATCTAATCAATATTACCTAAGCGACTATACTTGTCATAATCTTATTGGTTGACCATAGTTTTGTCCACCTTGTGATTTCTCATTACCTAAGCAACTGTACTCGCAATCTTACTAGTTGAACCCACCTCGTCTTGTGGCTTTGCCGCATAAAACACCTTTGAGAAGTAGGGTCGGCGGGCAACCCACTTTCCAGTCCCCCTTCTGTCTCTCTTAGAAGCTATCTTTCTCTCAATAAATTTTTCCTACTCTTAACCTCCATTGTTCCTAGAATTCATTCTTCAATTTTAGAGAACACTAACTCAAGCTTCGGATATCCAGCAGGTTTGGGAGTTACATCTATTCCCCCTATATCACATTCTGAGGTGAAACAGGACTATTTACAGATAAAAAGGGAATGGGCAGACCTGTTTGTAGCTGAAAGGGAGGTGCCCAGGTTTGCTGTTTTGGGAGAAGAAAAGGAAAAAAACCTGAGCTTGTGTCCTGAAGCTGCAGTTTTTCATTTAAAGTACAATTTAAAAAAATCTTGATTTCTTTGTCTCCTTTTAAACCTAGTTTTATTTCTTCCATCTCATTGCCCCCTTCCCCTGTAGTCCCTTGTTCTTAAGGGGGTGCAGATGGCCGATGATTCTGTCTGCTTCAGGGTGAACAGAGGCATTGATCTTGCCTAGCCAGGGACTGAAAGTCTGGTCCTGACTGGTCTGAAAGAGACAGGAATACTGAGTTCCATCTCTTGACGAACCTCATCTTTTAATAGTCTGAAAAAGTCCATCATCATATGCGACTTTAATTTGGAATTTATCAGTATAATGTGGGACTGCATAATCTTTGTTCCTTTTCTCCAGCCCCATTGTGATTAAATGTGAGTTAATGGATAAAGATGCTTGTTAGTTTTGGGACACTAGATAAAAATCTATAACAGACCTAAGGTCCCAAAGTAAACTACTCAACTCCTTGTTTGCCCGGAACTGATGTTCCGGACACTACAATCTATAGAAAAAGCTGCAAATGTCTGCTGACCATCAATACGTGACAGTCGACCACTAACCTTTGTCCCCTTTTCTTTAATTCTATATGTTAAGTTCCCCCTCAACCCCCTATAAGAACAGCCTCGGACTCTGAGCCAGTTGCCTCTCTAAGCTATTTTGCTTTGGGAGTGCCGTCTGGCCAGACTAATAAAGGTCTGTTTTACTTTCCAACTTGTCCGGTGTGTTCCTTCCCGGGTGTTCTTCGCTGCAGTCAGCTCCTCGGAGCGTTTGGTAAGGCCAACGGTTTTACAA